TCCATTTATAAAAGCGTTGTATATTAAAAAGTTTTTTTTATATTATTTATTTTCTACTTTTTAGTCCTGTCTGAATAAAATTTTGCAATAGATATTAAAATAATTCAACGATATTAATAGAAAGGTGCACACACATGCATTTACATATGTATGTACATACAAACGAGCACCAATTAATTTTATTTAAAGAAATGGCGTGTCGTCTATTTCCGCTGTAGCAAACGTAGTACATAGGGCGACATCTAGATGTCATCTACCTCGCCCTATTCACTACAGCTGTCGCCCTATGCACTATGCTTTTTTATAGGAACTTTTCAAAGCTTTGCTTTGGTGTCGGACACACAACATTGAAAGTTTCTGGATCCACAACATTGAAAGTTTCTGGACCCACAACATTGCAAGTTGATAAAAGCGTTGTAAAAAGGGGTGCTTATCTTCCAAGAATAAAAAATATAAGTACGCCACTCTGCGTCTTTTTACAAATGCTTCGTTTAAAAAAAAAAATATTAAAATCGGTTTAGTACTTTGAGAAATAAGTCGTTACAAACGTACTCCATATAATCAATTTTATATAATAGTATAGATATAAGCATTCAATAAACAAAAGAAAAATAGCCGAAACTAGTCAAAATGTCAGTTGACTTAATCAACTGACCACAAGGGAATGTCCATATATTAAATATTTGAGCAATGTTTTTATAACAAAAAATTTAACAGAAATGTTACTAGGCAATATATTAAATAAAGTTATTATTTTTTCCTTATTTTATAGATCGTTATATTAACAAAAAATCGAGCATTAGGGTCAAAAAAACATCAAAACCAAGTGCAACAACTTTACAACGACATCAAAATGGCATTAGCAACTACTTTATTTTATTGGGCTGCGCAACGTGGACTTCCGAAAGGCATCGTTGTTAAGCTAATTAAAAATTTGCCAAAGCTTGCACAAGCTCAAGCGTCGGGAGTAATAGATGATATAACACTAACAGCACTTTTTGCTTTACTATACGCATGTGATACGAGTGCTTTACTCAAATATGAAACACCGACTTCTCCTTCGCAAAATATTCCTATTCTATCACAAGGAGACTTTCTACAAACTGTGTATGAAGTTTTGGTTTCTACTAATCAGGATGGTCTAAACGGAATAATAAAAATGGCATTCGGTTTAGCATTGACTGGGTTTCGACACGCATCACAGCAGGTACCAAATTCTGCCTCAAAAATCATAGTTTATGATGAGCAACTTATTGATGCAGCTATCAACAGCAAAGTTTTTGATTTCTTATACTACTTTGTATTGGACAACAGAATTTTATATAGGTTTGTTAAATATTGTACTATAAATCACTTGTATAATTATACCTGGTGGAGTAACAAGGGCAGCTAGTTTTACTTCGACTTATTTGACATGTTGGCTTTTTGCGAAAACGGACGAGTAGGAATCAGTACCCTTTTTGGGTATTAAAGGACAAACATATTCAAATTAGTGTATGGATGGACATTTAACTACCTTTTGATTAATTATTTTCTTTATTTCTGCATTTTTTGCGATAAAAATAACATCAACATTCCAAAAAAAAAAAAAATTAAAATTGTTCGCAGAGCCATTTGGCCTCTGTAACGCTCCCCAAGCTCCAAGATCATGTCTTTGTCTACTTAGACGACTTGCTAATTGTGTCCGAGGCCTGCGATGTACATATATCCGTGTTGTCTGCTGTTGCTCATCATCTAAGAGAAGCTGGTCTCAGAATCAAGTCCAGAAAACCAAATTTTCCTAAAAGAAGCTAAATGCATAGGTTACATAATAGGTAATGGTACACTGAGAGCAGACCCAGATAAAATTTCGGCAGTGACAGATTATCGATAACCAAGAAGATTTGTCGACAGATTCGCTGCCTTAACAACCCCACATACCAATCTCCGCAAGAAAGTTTTTGAGTGGATCACAGAAGCTCAAACCGTATTTGATCATCTGAAAGAAAGACTATGGACAGCACCAGTTCTAGCATATCCTAATTATAATGAGCCCTTTCTGATTCATTGTGGTGCCATTAAGCTTGGTGTCAGGGCCGTTCTACCTCAGCGTAACTGCGAAGGCGTGGAAGTACCGATTGCGTACTTTTCGCAGAAACTGAATAAAGCGCAAGCGAACTACAGCGTTACCGAGCTAGATTGTCTGGCCGTGATACTAAGCTTAAAGAAGTTCAAGGCTTATGTTGAAAGTCAGGAATTTAAGGTCGTGACCGATCACGATAGCCTGAAATGGCTAATGCGGCAGACCGACCTTTCTGGACGGCTTGCAAATTTAAAATTGAGCATCGCAAAGGCAGTCAAAATGTTGTGCCAGACTGTCTCAAGACAAAATTCCGATGGGGGCACTGAAGCAAGTCCGTTGGAAGTCAACCCGCTTATTCGTTTAGATTCTTCCGAATTTACATCCGATGAGTACGAGAAACTGAAAACTCAGGTCCGCAAAATAAAGAACGTCTGCCTGATTTGCAAATATCAAATCATCAAACAATCATGTGTACAAACGCACCTAGCATCCCGATGGTAACCCAGAAAATGAGTCCTTCAATTGGAANAAAAACTCAGGTCCGCAAAATAAAGAACGTCTGCCTCGCACCTAGCATCCCGATGGTAACCCAGAAAATGAGTCCTTCAATTGGAAGTTATGGATTCCGCAAAGCTGGACCCTTGAGGTAATGGAAAATGCCCACAACCCACCAAATAAATGTCACGGTGGAATAGGAAAAACTTTGGAGCGGTTAAAGCGAAACTTATCTTAACCAAATAAATAGACAGCAGATGTCTAAAATTTTGTCACTACTTGTGATGTATGTCGCCAAAGCAAAGCTCGAAATGTTTCACTTCGTCCATCAATGTCCGTCCAATATAAGGAGCAACGCCCTTTCCAGAAACTTTATGTAGATCTCCTTGGGCCCAGTGTTGCCACAAAAGAATTACCAAATTCCTCAAAAACATGAAAAATCCTCAAAATCCGAACAAATTACTCAAAATTTTCTTATATACTATTTACAGTTACTTAGCACAAAAATTAATTACATTCTCCAATTCAATGGGTACATTTGTTCTTGCGGTTCAAACAAAGTGTCATGGTTATTTTGTATGCCTTGGTTGGTATATAATATTTATGCAAATATATCAGTGCTCAATCTGGTCCTCAAGTCAGTCCTACACATTTCTAAACTACTAAATATACGTTCTACTGAAGCATTAGAAAAGGGATATATTAGTAATGCAGATATAATTTTTTTAATTGGGAAACTTATATGAACCTAAAGACACTTTAATTCAAAAACTTTTTTCCTAAAATTTTCTGGATCTAATGAAGAATCAATATGAATGTCCTTATGATTGAACAATGCGTGCCCTCTCCATTCGTTATCGAGATTATGCAAGTTCAAAATAAGTTGAAAATATAACGACGGAAGGGAAAAAATTCCCGATAACATTTGAATATTTAGCAACAAATGCAGATGTGCTTAAGAGCGAAAAACACCACACACGCGGCTTGACAAACCAAGCGAAATATCCCTTTGCTAAAAGCTATTTATGTTGTGTATGGGGGTTTTTGAAGGTTTGACAAGCCATTTGGGGGAAATGGGAACAAAAATCAAAATTGTTTGATCTTCTGGCCACAACGGAATTTTTACCGAATGAGGACTCAAGAGAAAAAAATTGAAGAAAACCAAACCCTTTTACATTGTGAACTGGAAGAAAACTAAAACTCTTTGCTTGAACGAGTCATGTTTGCATGGTATATGACGAAATGGGAAAAGTACGTTTGAAGAATGTTTGACAAGCCGCTTGTGTGGTGTATTTCGCTCTTTATAAAACTTCGGAAAGTTTTTTGTTCAAAAATTTGCAGAGCGATTTAACAACTCTCTTGTGTAAAATATGGTTGCATTTGTTTTGTTATCTGCAAATATATCGATAGAAAATTCCTCAAAATAAAAATCCTCAAAAAATACTCAAGCACCCCCGGAATTCCTCACGTTTTGAGGAATTACAAAGTGGCAACACTGCTTGGGCCTTACCCAAGATATTGGAATTTTAATTTTTTTGGACCATCAAACGAAATTCCCTCTGTTAAGAGCGATAAAAAAGTTTCATGCGTCAGATATTTGTGATTTCATGAATGAAAACATCTTCCCAATTTTCGGCACGCCGGAATTAATTTTGACCGACAATGGCAAACAATTTGAATGCTCCCTTCTCAATAACGTGCTGACTGAGCGTGGCATTCGCCATGTTTACACTGACCTTTACAGCCCTCAGGCTAATGCCAGCGAGCGGGTTAACCGGTCGATCGTGGCAGGAATTAGAACCTACATTAAGAACGACCAAACCCTCTGGGATAAGCATTTGTCTACCATAGCTGAAGCACTCCGAAGTGCATACCATCAGACCATTTGCTGTTCTCCGTACTATGGTGCTTTTGGTCCGCAGATGGTCACACGCTAGCGAGTATGAGCTTCTCAGGAAGTTAAATTCGTTGGATGAAAATATCCTTGAAAGGTCTGACAAGCTAAAACTCATTCGAAAATCTCTAAGTGAAAATATTGACAAAGATTTGAATTGTCTTCAAAACGGTATAATTTGCGAAGCACAACGAAGTCCTTCAAAATAGGTGACCCAAAATGTATAAAATCAAAAGTAGTCGGAATCAAGGGGAATTGTATGTATGAGCTGGAATACCCAAATATGAACCAACGTCAGTTTTACCACCAAAAAGCATTCAATCTTGCACATCCTGAAAAGGGAGTACTTTCAATCTATGAGGTGGGAGGGGGGGTACCGTACTACAAGCAGAGGTGTTAAAGAATGCAGTCATCGTGACTTTAAATCGTTGCAGTCACATTCACTGACTAACACTTTTTAACTGCAGCCAATCAATCACTTGTTTGACAAAAGACTCCAAAATTGAAGTCATTAGTCTTTTCTGTTATTCATGACTAATTAGTCTTTTTTGCAGTCCGAGGTGAATAATGAAAATCTAAAGCAATCTTTGCGTACACTTTTCATATAATTATAATGCTAATTTGTTTAGAAAACAAATGAGTACACAAAAAGCTTAATTAAAACTCCAGTGGTATATAAAATTTCGAAATGTCAATGAATTCCAGTAACTTCCAATGAAATAAATTTGTATATATTATATGTACATAATCTGTACATATTTAGCACTATCATGAGTTTCATTTTCCCCGAACCGGTTCACTTTTNGGTATATAAAATTTCGAAATGTCAATGAATTCCAGTAACTTCCAATGAAATAAATTTGTATGTATTATATGTACATAATCTGTTCATATTTAGCACTATCATGAGTTTCATTTTCCCCGAACCGGTTCACTTTTCATTTTTGGTTTACATGGTTTTACTATATGCGGATGACAAATTTTCGTGTGATTTTTTTTCAGCCGAAACTCAGGATAAGGCAGATTATGTAAATCGCCGTTTAAAGTACAAAACCGCGTATCGTCATTCTGCAAAACCGCGTAACTGACATTGGCTGCCAAAAATTGGATTTGCTCACACAAGTTCTTGGCCCAATCCTTATCCATTCGTCCTGAAATATATTAGCCAGAAATGCCATTGCTTTATAAAAAAGATAACCATTTTGAAATATGAGTGTTTTTACGATCTAGAAAATAATTTCTACAAATTCACATACGCGGTTTTGCATTTTGCTGATACGCGGTTTTGCATTTTGTTGATACGCGGTTTTGCACTTTAAACGACGAAATTAAAAAATAACAAAGTGCATGCGAACATGTTTCCAAAAAAATTAACAATGATCCTTGAAACGAGTCAAACTTTCTGAAAAGGGCCACTAAAAATTTAATATTAGAATTTCAAATATGTTTTGGCATATATTCAAAGGTCTATATGTGAAAATCGGCCGCTGTGGTGTAGTGGTAAGCAGTGCGCGCTTTCACACATCAGCACCTGGGTTCAAGCCCTGGTCAAAGCAACATCGCAAAAAAAAATATATAGAAAAAAGTTTTTTTCTTAACAGCGGTCGTCCCTCGGCGATGAAAACAGCTTCTCATAAAAATACAATCGCCGTTCGGAGTCGGCGTAAAACTGTAGGTCCCTCCGCTTTGTGTGACAACATCAAGGCGCACGCCACAAGTCGGAGGAAATTAATGTCTTAAAATTTTTTTTTAAAACTTAAATTTTTCAAAAATTTATTCTTAAATGAATTTTGACCTTCTTTTCATCAATTTTATATATTAATTGCTATATTTCCGTAAGTATTCAATGAAAAATAACCAAATTTTAATGGTGTA